CATTGATAATAATCAGAAATGTTTCTCGAGCAGCAGAGCAGCATATTATACTGATTTCTGAAGATCATGTGACGCTGAAGACTGGAGGAATGATGCTGAAAATACAGCTGCACATCACAGAAATACATTACACTTTAACAGAGATTCACAGAGAACACAGCTGTTTTCCATTCTAATATTATTTCACAGTTTTCCTGTATTTCTGATCAGATGAATGCAGTCTCGGTGAGCAGGAGTGTATGTGATTGGTTTTGCAGTACCGTCCAGCTCGAGGCAGATGTGCTGCAGGCTCATTCCTCTGAACAGCACTCCCTCTCTCTCTCCGTAGAGAACCACTCTCCCCACGCGGTTCATCAGCGCCGGGTCCTGGCCAATCCGAGCGCAGCTCTGGGTCACGTGATACTCCCTCTGCAGGAAGTCCTCCAGGCGTTTGGCGGCGCGCTCTCCCTCCTCCAGCAGCAGCAGCTGGGTCAGGATGGCCACCTGTCGCCGCGCGCGGGGGGCGGTGAGCGTCGCAGGGTTCTTCGCGCCGGTTTCAACCAGTGTTGGGGAAAGTACTCCATTATAATATTGTGGTACTCCATTAAAAAAGTAACTAATTGCATTACTTTTTATGTAAAGTAATGCATTTTGTTACTTTTCGTCACCTGAGCTGGCCTTGCTTATTTGTGTCCCTGCAGCACAAAAGCAGTGTTAAGTCGCTGGGGGATATTTGTAGCAATAGCCAAGAATACATTGTATGGGTCAAAATTATAGATTTTTCTTTTATGCCAAAAATCATTAGGATATTAAGTAAAGATCATGCTCCTTGAAGATATTTTGTAAATTTTCTACCATAAATATATCAAAACTTAATTTTTGATTAGTAATATGCATTGCTAAGAACTTCATTTGGACAACTTTAAAGATGATTTTCTCAATATTTAGATTTTTTTTTTATTGTATCTCGGCCAAATATTGTCCTATCCTAACAAACCATACATCAATGGAAAGCTTCTTTATTCAGCTTTCAGATGATGTATACATCTCAATTTCGAAAAATTGACACTTATGACTGGTTTTGTGTTCCAGGGTCACATTTGCTTTTAATAACAAAAACCCTAAAAGTTATACTTTTGGCAACTGTAAAGGCTCTTTCACACCAAAAGTGAACTGAATAAGCCTCAGACTGAAGGAAGAGCCTCTGTCTCTGCACTCACTCCTGATTTCTCTCAACACGGGCACAGGAGAGGCGACAGTCAATAAATGGGAAAGCAAAGTAATTGGTGTTACTTATTTGAAAAAGTAACAGATAATTCATTGTAAATTTCAAAGTAATGCCTTACTAGATAATGCATTGTAAATGTAAAAGTAACGCATTACTAGATAATGCATTGTAAATTAAAATATGTAGAAGTAATGCATTACTAGATAATGCACTGTAAATTAAAATATGTAAAATAATGCATTACTAGATAATGCACTGTAAATTTAAAAGTAACGCATTACTAGATAATGCATTGTAAATTTAAAGGGGTTATATGATGCGATTACAAGTTCTTCTTTCTCTTTGGAGTGTTACAAGCTGTTCGTGAATAGATAAGATCCCTGAAGTTGCAAAGACTAAAGTCTCAAAACCAAAGAGATATTCTTTATCAAAGTTAAGACTCTGCCACGCCCCCCTAAAACGGCTCGTTCTGACACGCCCCCACATATCTACCTCACTATGTGGAAATATTAGCATAATGCGCCCAAATGTTCATGCAAAGAAAGAAGGCGTGGTTTCAGTAACCGCAGTTAGTGTTGAAGCAGCATGTCAGGGAGACGCTGTGTGTTTCTAGACGAAAGCAAAAGCACTTTATTTGGCCTTCCGGATATCCGGTCCATGAACTTCCGTCTGCTAGCCATCACAGGTCACCCTTTCCATTTTCATTGACTTTCGCACTACACACTGTTGCATATCACCCCGGACTACATATCCCATCATTCATTACACTGATTGCACACAGCTGTTTCATATCACTCACTCACTATTTAACACTCATTCTCATTCCTTTCTAACTGCCGAGTATTGTTTAGCGCTTATCGTTTTGATAGCTACACTATGGAGCCTGTTTAGTTTACCCTGCCTCACCTTAGTCTGTCTCGTCTGTTTTCTTGGTTTCTGATCTTTGCCTGTTTTCCTGGATTTATCCCTCTAGTCTCGCCCTTGTGATTCTGTTCGCCGATCGTTGACCTACGCTAGCCCTAGGACTATTCTTGTGTCTTGCCCGCCATATACCTGCTTGCCACTGTTCGACCCTGCCTGTGTTTCTGACCTCCTCTGCTTTTAATAAAGCTTGCACATGGATCCGCACGTCTCACGTCTTGTCAGCCCCGTAACAGATACTCGGCCACACAAGGATCCAGCAGCTTCTCATGTGAACATTGGCCAGGTATGGACATTGCAAGGCTGTTGTTAGCCCTCGAGTAGGGCACCCGCTCACTCGAGGACTACATTCAAGAGTATCTGGACACTGCCTATCACTCTGATTTACCGGACTATGTTTTGATAGATTTTTTCTGTAATGGCGTTAATCAACCGCTAAAATCTAAGCTCATACTTGAGGGTCCGCGTTCGTCACTATGTCAATTTATGGATTATGCTTTACTGACTGTGGGCTCTTTGTGTACTGTGGGAATCGCGGAGGAAGAACGTGATACCGCGTCTGTGCCTGTAATGATGGCAGCGACAGCGGAGCCCATTCGCAAAATGGCGGCCACACTAGAGCACGCTCACAAAATGGCGGTGACAG